AAGGAGATTAAACACTGTTTCAGTTGTGACATTATAAATAAGGAAGTAATGTTCATTGGTTGTTCTATTTTACCATGCATCATCAAATCACTAGCATAGCTGGGAAACCTTTCACCTCCCTCCTGGATGTTTCAGGTTGTACCAGGATCCCCTACTTAATCGTCTGGAGCTTCTTTTTGACTGCTCTGTTGAAGCAAAATCACGCCTGGTAGAATGAAGTTGTTCCATGGAGACGAACATCCCATTGCATATCAAGCTCCATATGCTTCTGGTGGTCCTATGTCCTGCTGAACATTTGTGTGCTCTTAAACAAATTATTCCTATGAACTTAAGGTGGATGAATAGCCTCTAACTCCTCTGTGATAGTCTACGGAAAACATTCTTCTCTTTTCATCTACTGGCTCAGGGTCACTTTTGACTCCCTATGTTCTTTAGCTGACTTCTGACCCTTCTTCAAAGTCAGGGATGCCTTTCTCTGGGTGGTTAAGTTTGGCAGTTTCTTGGATTATACATTTCCTTCTTTCCTTATCCTACTTGAGTTCAGCAAGGTTTTTTTAGCCTGTAGGTCCTGAGATCCTCATATGAGAAAATTGAACTCTATTTCTTCAACACCATGTCTTTCAGTCACAGTGAATCAGGATGTACATTTAATTTTTAACTGCATCCTTTATTCCACCCCAAGAATAAGCCTGGCCATCTTGTTTATGAATTTTCTCCCTCAGTGGCAGTTTGACTACTGGCTCTTTTTCTGAAGATGACATAAAAGTTTGTGTTCCTTATTTCCCAGTTGTTTGCCTCTTTTGAGTTGTGACAGCTCCTACTCGTATCAAACATACTGATTCTGAATGCTTCAAGAAACCTTACTCCAGCATTACTGTAACTGAGTTTTTTCTTTTTGGCACATCAGAAAACAGACGAGCTTCATACGCAACTTGAGGAAGATCGCATCTGAACATTCTGCTGCCCCCCCTTGACATTTGATGCCATATCTTAACATTTGTTCCACCATGTGTTGCTGGTCAATAACTCCTGGCAGGAGGTGTCCGTCTTGTTCACTGTTTGCATTTGCCTTTTCATTCCCACTGCTGTACTGCCAGCTGTTGTGCTGGTTGCTCACAACTGCAAAAGAATCAGTTGGCTTTTTTCTAAACAGGCATTGTAAATGTTTCACTCTACTGTTCTGCATCTGTATTTCTAATGATGAGATGAAACCTGGCACAAAGAAAACAGTCCGAGCTGAACTAAAGGGAATTTAAGGTTTAAAAAAAAATATATTAAAAAAAGATGATCATGGAGAGGCTTGGAGGAATGTGATCATCACTCCCCACAGCTCCTTATGATTACTGCCAAGACCATGAAAGCGCTCCAAATAATGTTGTGGGGAATGCTGTGATACCCACATGCAATGCAGGTCATCTTCTGTTCGTGCAACCTGGCATTTGGAAGACTTATTGCATCAGCAAAGACAGCCAAGAGTGAATAATCTTTACCAAAATAGCTGTAAAGCTATGTTAGCACTTCCATGCTGGTTGCACCAGCATTTTCTGGTGTCAATCCAAGCTGAGATATTCAAATCAAAAAAAATTAGGGGCCTTTTTCCCATTAAGTGCTTTTGCCAGGTTTATGGATCTGCTTACTTGGCTCACAACGTTGGTGATAGCTCTTACCAAAGGAAGAGCTGTGCTTGGACGTTACCTTCGCTGAAATGTTTGTGTCCTCTTGCAATGCCTGCCTTAGGATAGTCTCAAGTTCCTCTGCTCAGAAAAAAACCCCAAAATTTTTAAATCTGTTCACTGTTCCCCTAGGAAATGGAAACATGTTTTACCCACTCTCAGCTTCTCTGGCTTCCTTCGAGCTCCACAACTGCTCACTTTTTTTGCCTCCTTCAAAATTCTCTACCAACTCAGCTCACCTCCCGACAGCTCCTCCAGTCTTGGCCTCCTCCTCTCGACTATCCACAGATAAAATTCCTCTTTTATTTGGCCTGTTTCATCTCTCTGGAATCCTGTCCTCCCTTCTTATCTGCTTTGAGCCGCCAAGTCACTCCCGATCCTTAAATCTCACCGTTAAAACCTTTCTTCATGGTATAGTTTACAGCCGCCTGTGACATTAGGCGGGACTGTGTGTAGCAGCGTGAAAATGTGCTGTACAAAAATAAGCGGTGTATTGTCTCAGAGCCCCACCATGAAAAAAAAAAAAGAGAATCAAGTCATGTGACCTACTGTAGATAACTGGAGATTCAAACCCCACAGCTGACTTCTTTTTACAGGGGATGTAACGCGGGTGATGCACAAACCTCCCCAGAGCCGCCCCAAGCGAAACCCGCTCTCTGACAGGAAACCTTTTCCTTACGGGTCTGCAACACCCCCGTGGGCAGAGGGGGGCGGTCAGCGGGCAGCTGCACGGGATTTTCTGCAGCAAGATGAATTTACGTGGGGCGGGGAGGAGGGTGGACGCCGACGTGCCGCGCGGGGCGAGGGGGCGATCTCCTCACTGCCTGCCCCCCAACGGCCACCAGCCTGAGGGGAGCGGCCCCCCAGCGCCGGCCGGGCCCCCCCGCTCGCCTCAG